TCTGGTGTTGTATCTAGTTTCACACAATAAAAGCACATTGATAAAAATTAATGAGCTAGGACAGAGAGATAATGAGTCTATCACAAGGACACTGACATCCCCATGCAGTGACAATAGTCTATTTATAAGGGAAAGCAGCTTGATAGTAAGTATGAAACAATCTTACCTTTGTATATTTGAGCTCTTGCATATAACAGGGACAATAGGGCAAACCATATTTATTCCCATCTACAATGTCCAAATAAAAAGAAAACAACAGTTTAAACATAGTACAGAAAACACAAAACTGCATTGGACAAAGACTACAGGCCATAAAATATGCATTGGTCATTGCAGGGTTATGCATTAGGAAAACGGTTCTCCATCCATTAATTTACAACTCTATTCATCAACACAGAATGTGTAATGTGGAATTAATGCACAGGACTGTCGTTACCCCATAAAGGAATATTGGGAAGATTGGCAGGTTTAAACTCTGCTAATCAAATCTTCTGCTGCCAATGACACTAGAAAACTGGATTTTTTAAAATAAACACAACTCTAGTTATAATCTCTATCAACGTGTTTATTATCATCTGTGACTCTTACGGAGAGATCTGCCCGCACTGTCAGTCTTGGTAAACACAATGGTGAGTAAGAGGAAAACTCCCCAACGGGTACACATACACCAATAAAAACCTACCGTAATAAAGGTTCTGTCCTTACTTCACTCTACTATAAAAGTGTTTTATTACAGTCTGTGCCCCACTTAGTGAAATTCTGCTGTATCAGTGACCAGACAGAAAGCCTTTTCATGCTGCACAGCCTGTCTGAGATCACAGTTGTATCATTTTACATGGCCCACTGGAAACATTCATCATTATATTTATTGTCATTATGATCACTGACAGATATGCTGCACAGATTTATCGCGCGGTAAAACAGTAGAAAGGCATCATGGCACACTCACAAACTAGCATGTAAAACAACTTGTCTCACCACTAAGGACAATGACAGAGGTTTGGATACACGTCTTCTGAAAAGGATGTGTAAGCCGCACTGCCGCGCCAAGGCACCTCTTATAGTGCGGTCCTAACTCTAACTCTAACTCTCCCGCGATATCGCGGCAAATTACCGCGCGATATCGCGCTCCAATGCATTTCAATGGGGCAAAGGGTCCTGCTGTCGCGGGTCGTGTGTCGCTACAGCAGGACCCTTTTTGGAGCGGATTTAGCCGCGATTCAAGCTTGCTCAATGCAAGCTTGAACGCGATATCGCGCGGCAAATATCGCGATATCGCGCAATATGCAAATCGCGCAACAAACACGCGATTTGCATATCACGCAGTGGGAACGGGGCCTCACACTGAGCGATTTATCGTGCAATTTTTGCAGCGATATCGCTCATATTTCCACGCGATATCGCTCTATGTAGCTTCTCCAATCCATTTCAATGGAGCTGTTCACATCTCGTCGCTCAATATCGCTTGTAGCTCGTCGCTGGTAGCTTGTTGCTCCTACATGTCCCTTTTATCGAGCGATTTTGCTCCTGATTGCATACAGCCCAATAGGAAAAAGTTGCGCGATGTCGCTCAAAATCGCGCGATTTTCATGTCGCTCAGTGTGAAGGGGGCCTAACTGACCATACACCTTACTCCTGCATTCCACCATGCCCAAAGAAGAGTGGTCAGGTACAAGCCGGGTCGTTAACAGGAGGGCAGCAGCACGGTACAGGAACAGGATCCAAGAGAGTGGTCGGGTAACAAGCCAGGTCGGTGACAGGTCTGCAGATAGGAAGCAGGGTTTCAGGAAGCAGGGTTTCAGGTTTATGGGAATCAGTCAAGTGCAGGCGACGCAAATACTGAGCCAGCTTCCTGACTGCAGGTAGGGCCTAAATACCCTCCCAGGAAGCACCAGGTGATGGGATGATCAGTCACAGCTGGGGCACACCCGCAGGTGAGTACTGGAGCTGCAGGTTCCTTACAGTCCCTGGCTGCTGGAGACACCCGCAGGCGAGCACTAGGGTTGCCACCTGTCCAGGATTCACCCGGACAGTTCGGGTTTTGAATGCTCTGTTCGGGTTTCATTGCAGCAGATACCCGGACACAAGGTGTCAGGCAGACCAGGGGCAACCAAAATTAAGATAGGGGCTACTGGCCCCCCACTGGAAATAGTCTCACCTGTAATATTTGCATATGAATGGGTGGCGCTATTTAGATATGAATAACCCACGACTAATTCTCCCCAAAAAATGTCTGCGCGTCTCTAGAGTGTTCGGGTTTCGCTTGAAGTAAAGGTGGCAACCCTAGCGAGCACAGGAACTGCAGGACCTGGCTCCAGCACCACCTGGGGGTGCTCTGGATCCTGACATCTACTGATTGATCCGCGGTGGCTGGGAGCAAAAGCCAGCCTGCTATTGGCTATTTTGAATTGCAATAGCCAATAGCAGACTGGCTTTCGCACAGGCCCACTGCTTGCTATCAATCAGCAGAGGAGCAGACCTGAAGGAGAAAGTTCTCCATCAGGTCAACTCCTAATTGACAGCAGGCTGATGCAATAGCCAGCCTGCTATTGGCAATTTGAAATAGTCAATAGCAGGCTAGCTGTTGCTTCCCCTGCTATCTGCTGTGTTTTTTATATTCTGACAGCGGCCGCCTCTATTCCTACATAGATTGTCTGACTGGCTCTTTTGATCAGCTGATCGAGGGATGCTGGCCAGACAGTGGCACCCACTGTGCTTATTATCGATGATATCGGTACATTTAACCGATAATTTGGGGACTATCAGCCCCGATTATTGGTAGATCTGATAATTGGTAGACCCCTAATGGGGAGCGAAGGAAAGGTAGGGAGATGGTGCTGGAGATGGTGGAATTAAAATAGAATTGCACATTTAGTTACATCTATATAAGAGTATCCCGCACCCTCTCCTAGTCTTATAATCACTCTTGCTTCCAAAAATTGAAATACAAATACCATTTGCACCCAAAAGTGCACACATACAAGCGCTTACAAATGCACTGGATCGCACCTGAAAGCCCATTTGAAGCTAAAAAAACAAAAACGCTCCAAAACATGGAAAATCACTGTAAAAATGTGGCAAAAAGCAGTGCACCGCGTTCCACATCTGGTCCAGAAAGCAGTGCTTGTAGCATTTTGATCCCACTGCACCGGACTGCAGGCACAATGCGCCTTGCGATCCCGTGCGGGGGATCGCATTGTGGCCGGAGGGCGTGGCTACGGTGCCATTCACTTAAATGGCCAGCCACGCCCCCTCCGGCCCCACGAAATACTGAGGTGGCCGCAATGCGATGCGACTGCTTTGATGGGGTTGGCGGCGCGTGGGGGGGGTTTATTGTGGAACCTGGCCTTGGGGCGGCAAGGAGAGTAAATCCGGCACTGGATATGGTGTGAACAGGCCCAGCATTAACTGCCTCCTGGCCGGCCGTTGTGAAGAAACGGCAGGCCGGGAGCTCCCTGGATCTGAGCAGGCGTTTTTAAACGTCTGCTTAGCGATGTCCACATGCAGCACGGCGTGCGCGAAACTGCCTAAATTTAAAAACAAGCAGCGATGCCTGTTAACATACAAGCGATCCACCGACTATAGAGCCGGCGGATCGCTTGTATAACGTGCCGGTCCGTGTGTCCCTCCCCTTTTTCCTTAATATAGTAAAAAATAAAAAACCCAGTGGTGAATAAATACCACCAAAAGAAAGATCTATGTGTGTCCAAAAAATGTTATATAATTAATGCCTGTACAGCTTTGCATGACGGAATAAATGTTAGTCAAAGTACCGCAGCGCTGAATACTGAAAAATGGTCTGGCCAGGAAGGGGGTTTAACACCTGGACAGCAAGTGGTTAAGCAGAAGTAGTCAAATAAATGACAAGACGGTTGGTGTGAGGGTCCAGCAAGCCCTGCTGAACACACAGCTGACAGTCATTAAGCACCAATCACAGCACATTGCACCTTTTTTTGTGATAACTTTATTGAATGTCACACCTGGCATTTAGGTTCTAACAGACATTTGTCAAAGTAAAGTAAAAAAAAACAAAAAAAAACAGTTTTTAATATTAAAATAAAATAAAATAAATCTAATAATAATAATAACATTTTATAAAAAAATAAAATGAAGAAAAAAAAGGCCTCAGTCATGAAGGGGTTAAAACAAGGCAAATTGCTATGTCTGTGAGTTGGAACTGCACAGGTAAAGGCGGCCAGTGCAGAGCCAAAACATGGTATGAAAAGACTCTCAGTCAAAATGAACTGGGGTCAGACTAATCCAACACGTTATTAAAGGAGAACTATGGGGTCAGTGTTTTTCCCCATAGTTCTCCTTGGGGTAACGGGAGGACACAAACTAGCGTCCTCCCGTCACCCTAGGCTCAGTATACCGCGAGCTGTAGAGACGCCGCACCTGGAGCGGATCCCGACTTAGATGACGGGATTCGCCCAGCTGCGTGAGTGACAGCTGGCTCTGCCTATCAGCCAGCTGTACCCGCCCCCTCCCCTGTCTGTTCCGCCAGTCAGCGCTGGCAGATCGGAGCGGGGAGAGGGGAATCCAGCCCCTCCCCCTGTCACGGCAGAGAGCCGTGACAGGATCGAGAGGTGAGGGAACCCGGTATGTTTTCCCTCACCTCCCGATCTACTGAGCCGACCTGTGACAGTCTCATTGTCACAGGTTGGCTTAGAACTATGACGTGAGTGGAAATCACTCATGTCATAGTTCTCCTTTAATCTGATTTGCCCTGCTCAATATGGCGGCAAGCGGCGGCCATATTGAGCGGGGCAACACACATTAATAACGTGCTGGATTAGTGTGATCCTAATTCATTTTAATACTTTTGTATTAATTGCTGTGGCGTATGTGCATAGGGAAATGCCGCAGGTGGCGCTCGTGCAGTAGAGCCATCTCGGCTAAACCTCTAGTTCGAACGAAACCGGAAGTCAGAGCACTCGAGGAGTTGGAGCTTTCAAGAGAACACCGCCCTTCCAGTCTCTCATAACTCTATGGTAGGGCGCTGTGACGCAAGTGTGGAAAATGGCGGAGGTGGATTTTGGGGACAGCGAGCTCTTTCAGCAGTTGGACGAGAATGTCGAGCCTCAGCCTGTTCATATACGTTTTAATGACGCCGAGGACAGTGAGTTGGAGCCTAGCGGGTTACAGGAGCAGCTGGCCCGTTGTGAGGAGACCATAGAGCACCTGCGGGCGGAGAATATCCTTTCCGGACCCACGGCGGGATGTATACCGGCCTATAATACGGTGGCCGATAATGTGCCGGCTCAAGCTCCCTGTGAAAGAGCAGAGGTGTACACAGTACTATTAATAGTATAGTAATATCATATTTACTGTGCTGGGGGCATCATGTCCTATCAATAGAACGGTGGCTTTATTTGTATACATGGCTGTGCAAGTGACACGCAGCTAAACAGTGGCTGGCCTCCTGTGCTTGGTTTATTTAAAAGCAGGGGAAATGATCTACGAAGTACAAGCACACTTTATCCTTCCAGATCAGATTCTCCTGTGTTTAGATGTACATGCATTTACATGTGTTTACATTTATTTATATGCACTTAGGCCCCATTCACACAGGGACTTTGCTGTGTTTTTGGGATTCCTGTGGCAAGAACCTGTGGATCTCTCCCAAACTGCATATAATTGTACTGTGTATATGCAGACTGCTGCTTAGAGATGCCGTCACCCTGCTATATTTACTTCAATGGGTACAGTGGATGCATCTGACCTGGGCTTTCTCATGCAAGAATCTGTAGGATCTCGCCACATGGATCCCAGCATTTCCTGTATGAATGTAGCCTCAGTGACCTGCATTGTGCTGCACAGTGCAAGGACAGTTTTGTCTTGGGTGGGGTGCTGCAATAAAATGCAAACATTAGGGATGCACCAATACTGGTATCAGTGCCGATACAGAGTCTTTGGACGAGTACTCGTACTCGCCCAAATGCTCCGATGCATAGCCCGACATTTCCTGTATCAGGAAGCCGGGCAGCGCGTCATTACACGCTGCCTGGCTTCCTGATTGGCCGGGAAGCCGGCTCCATGTTCTCTCGTCACAAGTGACGAGGGAGCTTGGAGCCGGCCAATCGGGAAGCCAGGCAGCATGTAATGGCGTGCTGCCCGCCTTCCTGATTGGTCGAGAAGCTGGCCAATCAGGAAGCCGGGCGCAATGTAGTGACGCAGCACCCGGCTTTCTAATTGGCTGGGAAGCCGGCTTCATGCTCCCTCGTCATTACACGGCGCCTGGAAACGGCATCCTTGGAAAGCCGGGTGGTGAGTCTTTACACGTGGCCCGGCTTCCCGGTTAAGTAGGAAGCCAGGTGGTGAGTCATTACACGCCGCCTGACTTCCTGAATGGGACATTTCGATATCGGCGAGTACCGTAAAAAAATATCGGTAGTCGGTACTGAAATACCGGTATCGGTGCATCCCTAGCAAACATGCTGCATTTAAGCGCAGCACACTGGATCCCGCCGCAGGGCAGCAGTCACCTGGATAAAGTGTACACATTGTACACTCCACATAAAGTTTAAAAAAAGATAAACGGTGACCGCTCCAGCAGCATACGACTGGACAGACTCACTCTGGAGCAGCTGTGCCTGGCTATCCATTAGCTTCTAGCTTTCATTTGAAATCTTAACTGAACAAGTTGAAGATTAGGGCTGCAACTAACGATTATTTTCATAGGGGGAAAAAAGGAAATACCATCTTTTATTTAAAATGAAATTCACAAATGGAGTGTTACAAGCAAAGTCTACTTCAGAATAAAACTGCAGGCACATTTTTTGCAATCGCCCGGCACTGGAATGCACGGCATTGCAGTACCGTGCGGGCGATCACACTGAGGGCGGGAGGCGCGTCTGGAGGAAAATGTTCACTCTATTGGCTTTACGTATACAACACACACTACCTGAGCTGTCTCGACACAGCCCACCTGCAAAAACTCGGGGACATTTATGAAAGCAACAAAGTTTCAGGCACAAAGGCTAAAATCTCGTGCTAACTAACTGCAGAGTTTCATCTCTGTTATGCATCCTGTTATGCATCCTGTTATGCGGTATACTGAGACGCCGCAGCCGGAACAGATCCCAACATTGCTGTCGGGCTCCACCCAACTGCGGGATTGACAGCTGGCTCTGCCTATCCAGAGGTAGAGCCAGCTGTGTCCTCCCCCGTCCGTTCCGCCAGTCAGCGCTGGAGGATCGGACAGGGGAGGGGGGAATCCCTGCAGGGAGCCGTGAGTGACAGTCACGGCTCTCTGCAGGGATAGATCGAGAAGTGAGCGAGCGACAGTCTGTGTTGGCTCACTCCCCCCCCCATCTACTGAGCCGACCTGTGACAGTTTCATGTTCTCCTTTTAATGTTTGCGACTCAGTGCATATGTTTTTTGAGATTTTGCATATTTCAACTGCGCAGTATGTGTATAGTATTTCCAACAGTAAAAGACTTCCAAAGAGAAGCACATCTTAGAAGTCCTGTATAATGTATTATTGCTGGGATTTGTAGTCCTTTATACAGCGCAATGCAGAATACCACCAGCTATATAGGAATACAACATATCCCAGCAATACATTATACATATAGTGTATAATGTATTGCTGGGATTTGTATTCCTCTTTAGCTGATGGTACATTGCTCTGTATAATATACAGTACAGCAGAATGTACCATCAGCTATAGAGGAATACAAATCCCACTATCCCAGCAATACATTATAGAGCACCATGTTTGGAAAAGTGCAGGCTTACCTGAGCAGTCCTCCTGCGACTTGTTTCTGAGATCGGGCCTGTCGGCGGCTGTCATCCGCCCACACCTGCTCCTCCTTACTACTTCTACCCGCGTCCCTGTGCCGATCGTGGATGCAGGCGGTGAGCGTGAGGCGGGGAGGAGGTGCTGCGTGTGGAGCCTGGATGCGGGCGGGCGGTTCTGGCAGTAGCGAGCCTGAGGTGGGGATGAGGTGTGGCACGCAGTGTGTTTGGAGCCGTGAACAGGGCCAACCAATCGGAAGCCAATTAATCGATGATTGAAAAAGTTGACAACTTTTTCAATAATTGATTATGTCGATTAGTTGTTGCAGCCCTAAAAGATGAATCTACAGTGAATGTCACACTTGCTGGTTTATGATTATAGTATTTGCTCTATGTTACGGTATTACACATTGATTGCTATTACAAGAAAGTCTTATTTCCTTAACTCCATTTTCACATCAAGAGCTCAAGAGAAAATTGTCTGTTGTTTCACGGCCAAGGTATGCATATTTATCTCTTATATCTTCTAACTTATTTCTTTGATTTGAGAAGCTTCATAGAATGTGTTTATGAAACATGTTCAATGGTTGCAAAGCATACTGTTTTGGTTTGGTAAACCTGGAAATAGCAAAGTGTAAAAATTACATTCAGGACCTTGGCTTGCCATAAGTGGCTCATGTGATATATGTATGGCTAGACATTAGTACCCCAACAATAAAGGGTTATGCATACTGTTGTTTTTTTGTCATCTTCCAGGACGGCATACGAGAGATGGCCCTGCCCACCCTCATTACTGTTGCCGCAATCTTGTTTTTAGTAAATCAGCATGCTTATTTTCCTGTTTATTTTGTCCTATAAATCAGCAGCCAGTGTGTGTGAAGACCATCCTTCCCTGCTGATTTTTCTTGTAGGGGCTCTGCAAACCTGAGGCTGGTGGATGGTCCCTTGTTAAATTTGTTCCTATATCTTAATACTGGAACTCGTCCCTTGGTGAGGTTTGGGGACAACTCCTGGCAGCTTGCTCCCTTGGGAAAACTGGACCCCCTCCCCCAATGCTGCATAGACTGTGCTGTTAAGGAGCTGCTGACAAAGCTACAGAGATCATACCAGAGAGAGATGGAGCTTCAAACTGTTGAGAGGGAGAAGGCTGTAGACCCAACTAATGCTGGCTTTAAAAGGAAGTCCCTTGTGTGACCTCTCGCTGGCTTTCATAGGACGGACCAAAAACTGCACAGGGATGTGGATTTTGCATCGCCTGGGACATGCAGCTCCATGTGGGTAGTATTTTTCTACATTTAGCCCTGATGCGGGCTTGCAGAGCTAAATGTAGATCGGGGGAGCCACCACTTATTTAGTGCAAGTGATCTCAGATCACTGGTGTAAAATGAGCAGTGATCTTCTCAGAGCGAAGAATGCCTGTTCTCCTTTCCTCTGTGATAAACTGAGACCGGAGAGCAGTAATCACAGCACCACCTGTCTCAGCTGTCAAACTGCACAGAAGATCTCTGTGTTGGCGGGCAGGTCCCATAAAGAAAACCTGTCACCTCCAAACTATCACATAGGGGCTTGTAAGCCCCTATGCTATGGGAATTAAATTTAAGTGAACCCCCCCCCCCCCAAAAAATAAATGTAAATAAAAAATGCAAACCAACCCTGCAACCCCCACCATCTGCATGCAAATAAACGCACACATAGGACGTGTGTGTGCTGCCCTCATTCCACTGTGTGCCATATTGTGGTAGCCAGGCAGTAGCGCTATCTAACACGCACAATGTGCATTAAAAGGTAAGTTCGCTTTCCCATGTAATTTGGAAAAATAGAATGACTTAATAGGTTGGACTTGATGGACTAATGTCTTTATTCAACCTCAAATACTATGTAAATCTGGCCCCCTCTCTCCCCCACCCGCTATACTTACCTCTGGGCAAACAGTCCTTTCCCTCTGCCAGTACGGGTGTATTATTTGTACCCCTTAATGCTGTCCAACGCAGCCCTGCGCTGTGCATTTTGAATTTCGCCCGAAAATTGCGAGCACTTGTTGGTCAGCATGGTCAGGAAGACTGCGCAGCACGCAAAGGGGCTGCCCCTGAAATTGCGCTTGTACTATTTTTCAGGATGAAACCACTGCAACAGTCTGAACAGTGCACATTAAAGTTCATTGCTTTATGTTTAGACCGGTTCCGCGCGTATTCGTACTGACTACTATGAGTGGACAACTGCTCCTGTGTGAATGGAGCCGTAGAGGAAAATTTATCAAACCTGGAGCAAACGAAATCTGGAGCAGTTGCCAATGACAACCAATCGGCTTCTATCTTTCATTTTCAAAGCTAAACTGAAGAGAAGCTGATTCAGAAGATGCTCCAGTTTTAATAATTTCCCCCTTAGTAACCCCATTGTTTTCAGCAGCAGCAGAGTACAGGAAAGGGGGGCGAATGTGCTGCTAGGAGGATTGTATAAAAGTAAACATGTCGCTTTGCTTCACACAGGCAAGACGCAGGTTTTCTTAAAAGGTGAAAATACTATACGTTTTAAGTATCAACCTTACTTGAGGCTATGTTGCATATTGTGTTTTGTGAAAGCTGAATCCCAAAATGCATGTTTGGCTTTGGCCGATTTACTGTATTTCTAAATGGCTCACCTTATTATACTGTATTATTGCCTATGTTTTTGTTTTCAGCGGCTTATTGGTGGAAGATAAGTTTGATGGACCTTTGGTACAGATTCTTTTCATGAACCATGTTATTTCAAAGTAAGTCACTGTTCTTTAATTTGTTGATTTAAAAGGAAGCTGTAGACATGTTCTTAAACATATAAAGGTAAGCCTTATCAGATAACTTAACCACTGCTCCCTACTCGCTGCAGGTATTCGACTGCCTGATCAGTGGAGTACTTGCTCTCCTCCGATGACTTCAGTGGTTCCTTCACCAGCTCATATGTCCTGTAGTGAGGCACAAGCTTGTGGGGAAGTGAGCGTCTTACACACCCAGAAGTGTAGAACACTTGCACCAGCTTTTCATTACACAGGTCTGGTGCCGACTGCAGTGGTCTGTGTCCCCGCTGCCACTGCCGACACAAGCGGGGATTGAAAGGGGGAGGAGAACAGACGAGCGGCGGGAACTCATCGAAAAGCAACTAAGCAATAATGAGAATCGTTGCCAACAATTCTCATTATTGATTATAATTAATTTAATAGATTAGTTTTTGCAGCCCTAGAAAACAGTGATTGTAAAAATGCTACCAATAGATACCATGCAAGTATTGCAGCTGTTATTGTGGCACTTATCTCCAAATGCACAGCAGTACAGACATCAATATACATATGTTTTGCCACTTCAATGTCTAAAAGAACTGTCATGGTCTAAGCAGTAGCTAATGTAGAAGTCCGAAAAGCAGGGAGCGCCTTCTACCTTAGGCTCCTTTCACACCTAGGCATCAGGGTTTTCGCCCATGTTAGTGTGCGTTTTACCTAGCATTTTGCTTAGCACGTTAGACACGAGCGCACATTAAGATGAGTGTTTTAATGGGCAGATGGAAAGACAAAAACAGGCACAGAAATGTGCAAACCACTCGTGTGAACAGGAGCCATCTAAGCGAATGGGATTTCTTGTGTTTTGAGAGTTTTGTCGCACTTTGCTTTGAGCATCAAAATGCCTGGGTGTGGACAGGGACTTGCTTCGAGAGTTAAAGTAGCTATTTATCTGTTACATACAATGTATTAAAGGAGAACTATGAGATGAGTGATTTTCCACTCACCTCATAGTTCTAGCCGACCTGTGACAATGAGACTGTCACAGGTCGGCTCAGTAGATTGGGAGGTGAGCGAACAGATACCGGCGTTCGCTCACCTCTCGATCCTGTCATGGCTCTCTGCCGTGACAGGGGAGGGGCTGGATTCCCCGCTCCAATCCGCCAGCGCTGACTGGTGGAACGGACGGGGGAGGGGGCGGGTACAACTGGCTCTGCCTCTAGATAGGCAGAGCCAGCTGTCACTCACGCAGCTGGGTGGATCTCGACATCGATGTCGGGATCCGCTACGGCGTCTCAGTATACAGCTACAGCTCGCGGTATACTGAGCTTAGGGTAACGGGAGGACGCTAGTTTGTGTCCTCCCGTTACCCTAAGGAGAACAATGGGGAAAAGCCCTGACCCCATAGTTCTCCTTTTAAGGAGTGACTGACTGCTGCAAATGTCAACAATTAGTGTGAGTAAAGCTGCCCATACACTGGGTGAATTTCGGGCGGTTTTTAATGTACCGGTCGAAATTCGCACAGTGGGTGGGACTTTTGGCTACCTTTCAGCCTGCATTCCTCGATCAGCTGATTGAAGCAGCGGCTGGAAAATCTTCATACGATCAGAGCCTCAGCCAATGAGCTGCCCGGGTATTCTAAAAGGTGCCGGCGGCACCTGTCAGAATACAATGCAAACAGCTGGGATTTTTCAATCGACACGTTGTGTTGATGGAGGAATCGTGTCAATTTTTTTGGTTTGGCCCGCGGGTTGAATGAAAAAAACTGATAGGTGTGTGTATGGCCAGCCTAAGAAGCCCATGTATAAGTATGTATTCTCATCTGATTACCTATGCTGGTGAAGGTATAAATGAAGATTCAGGCTTGAATTGTGGTTTGTCCATATTCATGTTGTACCAATGCTTGCACCACTGTACATTTTGGCAATATGTAACACAATAACGTACCTGCAGTATATTTAACCCCTTCATGACTGAGGCCTTTTTTTTTTCTTTTTTTGTTTACATATTATAATCCACATTTTAGGCCTGAAAATACTTAAAACCCCCAAACATATATTTTCTGAAAGCCAAGACCCTAAAGAATAAAATGGTGGCAGTTGCAAATTTTTATGTTGCACGATATTAGCCCAAAACACAAAATACACATTTTTAAAATAAAATATAAAAGATGAGGTTACGACAAGTAAATAGATACCCAACATGCCCAGGTTAAACATTGTGTACAGCTGTAAAACCGACAAAATTCAGTACCCCAAAAAGTCCATAGACACTTAAAAGTCCCCACAGGTCATCAGTTTAGAGATGCGTGTAAATATTATTGCTCTCACTCCGGCAAGCGTGGCCATACCCAACGTGTAGCGCGATCGTCGTTTTCATAGGTGCGTGGTCCAAAAGACCCTTAGTATCACCTTTTACACTCTAAATAAGCTATTGAAGTGCAGATCACACTTCAATAGCTTTTTGCTGGGCTTCAGGAGCCAAGGAATGAAAGCTATGGGACCGGAAGTGATGTAATCTGCATCGCTCCCGTTCCCATAGTGCGGGGAGGAGATCGGTGAACGGAGGTTTCGCCGATCTCCTCCCCAGCTTCCCCCTGACGCCAGAAAAAGCCAGTCCCTGCCCTGTAGGCGGGGCAGCGGAGCCCAGGAAACACGGTGGGGGCCATTTACCGGCCTATAGAAGCAATCTGGTGACAGCTGAGCCGCCAGAATGGCTTCTACTGTAAAGTTGGCTTTACGAATGTAAACAGAGTCCGAGTCTGTTTTAAGGGCCCTATGGCAGTGACGTACACTGTACGTCACTGGTCATGAAGGGGTTAAAGATCTGCAGTTTTAAGATCTGAATCTTTACTTTAAGGGATTTAGTTTTACAATCATGGTGGGATTGCATATTATGAAGGCAGAAATCCACATTTTACATCCTGTGACATCACAGAGCATACAACTCTCATCAGCTTCTAGTGGGTGGGGTTGTTGGGGCAGTACATGTTTTTCAGCTTCGTGCAGGCTACAAATCCCATTGCTTTTGGGCCTTGCTTGTGATGTCTGCTTGTGGGCAGCAGTATGGAGGATGATTGGGGGGCAGTAAACTTCCCTGAGGCTTCAGTTGGGTAAGTGAATGCTTTAGTAGTAGAACAGTGCAATCTTAGTAATGTTGCAGAACTGGCAAAGTGAACACTACATACTGTTGCTTTAGACCAGTGCAGGTAATGCCCGCATGTGGTATCAAGTGTGCGATGGTGACGCTACCTCTAGTTTTGAGGACTATGGAGGCTGTGCCCTTAACTGCCAGGCGGCTGCGGAAAGGACTGGTGACTCTGAAAATCACCCAGACCAGATATCAGTCGGCAGCAATAAGCTGTACAGAAAGTTTGGGAGGATTTTGTTAGAAGCACAGTGGCGTGACATGGAAAGATGCTGTTAGGTTTTCCCTGACGCAAGGAATTATTAAAAAGTTGAGCATGACTTGGAGGCACAGCTTATTCAGTTATTGCCATGAGAGTATCATTTAGTTGTAACATACCATTTAAGAAAGTGTATTTTTAAAGTTTAACTTTTGTCTGCTGGAGTTCTAGAACTGTGAATGTGTCTTTGTTATAACCTGTGTATTGTGGGCTCAAATACTATTCAGTGTATTTAACTGTTTAAAGTGTAAATGTAAAAACATATTTTCTTGCATAGGCAATTCCATCAAGAAATTGAGGATTTTGTCTCAGATCTGCTTCAAAAGTATGAAGAACAGCAGAGGGCTAACCCTGAAAAAACAGCATTCAATATTAAACCTCAGGTAACCCTTATTAAAGGTCAAATTCATAATGAATAACATAACATTTTTTGTGGATAGAATATAGGAGGGTTATAAATCCTGACAGCCTTTTGTTTGTTCTCTGTGTCCCTTTTGGGGGTAATTTCCTTCACTTCCTGTCTGATAGCTTCAACAGGAAGTGAGAACAAATGCCTCCAAAGAGGGGGAAATCCCTGGTGGTCAGCAGGATCGCCAGAACTATGTTCCCCATTGGAAGATTCCCATCTATTCCTGTTCTGGTGACCCAAACTTTTGGAATTGTTTTCACTTTCAGTAGTAACAGTCACCAGGACAAATTATAGGGTGAATCTCCTTAATAGGGACACAAGCAGCAGTAAAATCCTGACAGGTGTTCTAATCCCTCTCTACTCTTATCGAAACTAAAGGTGCCCACACACCTTGCTGTAATCGTACGATAATCGGGGGGAAATCCCGCGATCGTGCGATTTATCGCAACGTGTGTGGAAGGTGTGCGACCTCTCCTACTGTAAGGTCGCACAACTTTTATCTTAGGAACATGTTCGAAAACCCACCAAGAATTGTACGATGTTCGTAAGATAAAAGTCGGACGGCCGGTGTGCGCAAGCGCACACTGCCCGTTTAGCATTGCGGTCATCGGAAGCCCGCCCCTCAGTGGGGCGGGCTTGCGATCATCGCAATTTCGATCTGCCTGTCCAAGATAGGCAGATCGTATGTTTTTTTTTAAATACCTTACAACCATCGCAAGACAAAAGTTTTGCAATGGTTGTAAGGTGTGTGCCCAGCATAAAACAAAGTTCATGTCGGTTGCACTGAAAGACGTATAGTTTTAAAAACCTAATGGTTGTTTTTTTTTGGTTTTTTTTTCCAGCCATCAAGTTTTTTGTTGGAGGATAATGGGGGCTCCAATGTGGATACAATTAAGAAAATTAAAGAAGCATTTAGTGTAAGTATTTAGTTTTGTTTGTTAAAGGGAATGAATGAAAGAGACCAGCTTGATGCAAATATGCTTGGCAATTTTATACGTGTTTTTTTTATGCTGGCTTCACATTTGTGCATTACAGTAATGTGTAATTGGCGTTGTGTTGCCATTCATATTTTTTTTTTCTTTTTTAAATCTTGAACAATAGTTTTATTGAGCAAATACAGTACGTGTTATGGAATAGTGCACACGTTAATATGATTGCCAAGCCATTAGACTGGAGAACTCTATCCAGTCATTTTTATGATACCCCAGCTCAACACATTTTAGATGGGAATTATCTGTGCATTGTGTTGCAGCGCACATATGTGGTTTTAGGTATGTTGTGATACAGTGGCAAACCATTTAACACAAATTAACGTGGAATAATGCATGTGTGCGTATAGTAACACACCCTAACAATCTGAAGTGACCCTCTGATGTGTAAATTGTTATTGTATGCATTCATGGGGACAACCATATTTGCTTTGTACATATATAGGCCCATGGTGAGAGCTTCGGGGGTCATACCCAGAGTCTGCTAGGACATTATCAGAGAGTGCGGTGCCGGCCATTAATGTTACTTTCTGTACTGGGTCCTGTGTTCAGCACCCACCTTTGCACCAATTGTGCAGCGTGTTGGGTTAGCTACAGGGTGCTACCCAGGTCAGCGGCGTATCTGCACTGCTGTGCCCCCGTCCCTGAAGACCCCTTAGGGGATGTGCTCATCTGAAGTAAGTGAAGCAGAGATGTAATTCTTCTTTTGGATGCAAAAGACGCTAGAGGTGGGGAGTCCTAGCCCTCTTTCCCCCCTTCTTCCTTTCCAGTTGTAAGCTAGCTGGTGCCACTGTTCTATCGAAAGCTCCAACTCCTCGAGTTCTCCAACTGCCCGACTTCCGGTTTAGTTAGAACTAAGAGGTTTGGCCAAGAAAGCTCTTCTGCACGAGCGCCAGCCGCGGCATTGCCCTATACACATACACCACAGCAATGAAGTATTAAAATGAACCAGGATCACACTAATCCAGCACGTTATTAATACCTGGTAGCCCATTCAAAGGAAAACCCTTACTGCAAAAGGCAGTGGGGGCAGAACTTTTCTGGGATCCATAAGACCTTTTATGGTCCTGCAGGGGATCCATACCTGTCCTTCACACCCAAAACTGAATATTTATTTTGAATGTAACTAGTCTTTAATGGTACACTTCCAGGTAGTATTTAGAGTCGTAAATATAATTTTGTTTGTCACAGAATTCTGATCATAGAATTAGTACTTTGTCAGGCCGGTAACTTTCAGATATGTGTTTTTGTTTTGTTTAGTTTAGTCCCAATATGTCAAGATTACTTGCTATGACAGCATTTCTGTTAAATGACTGCTCTCTACATAAAATTATCAAATGAATCATAAAATTGAATTCTAATCTCTTTGGCAGGTTGTTGGAAGTGTCCTATACTTCACAAATTTTTGCCTTGACAAGCTTGGCCAGCCACTCATAAATGAAAATCCACAGCTGACTGATGGTTGGGAAGTACCAAAGTATCCTAATATGAAGCTTCCTTTACACCCACCCAGTGGTAATCCTCTTATTCTTGTATTATATGACTCTTTTTCTGTTTATAAAGGCAGTGCAGCAATACCATGAAACCAGATGCCGGAATCAAAATTAAGGATTGAATGATTTTATACATTTTACCATTTCATATGTTTACCTGTCATACAATGATATTCAGAAATTGTGCTTTCTGTGTAGTTCTGGTCTAGTTTTAAATCATTTTTATCTACCAAATAGAGTTGGGGTAGCCTTTTATACAGTTGGGATAGCCTACCTAAAACAGGGTATCGCTCTCTGCTGGACACAGCAGTGTTTACTCTATTCAGCTCCTGCATTTTACGAGTGATTCTTAAAATGCAGTTTGTGGTGTAGAGCCTGCACCTTTCAAATGTTCTCTGCACAACTCAGCTGAAAATACTTTGTGAAAGGAGAAGAGGTTAATCAATTGACTTTAACAGGCAATCAGGCTCTCCAGCTTCCAGTTTTTGTTTTTTTCCCTACTAATGAAAATGTATAGGGCTTTGCTTGCTTCTGAGTGCTGAAGCAAGCTAAGTGCTAATTACAGCTGTAAAGTCATTGTATTAGTATTGTGCCTAAAGGTAAGTCAATGGAGTGTCTGATATATATCTGAATAGAGTGTAAGATATACTTGAAACTCTACACACCCTGACCAACCTCTGTGGTTCCACCTTCAAATCACCTCTTGATGGTCCCTATTCCTTTTGGTGGTATCGGTATGCATGTTCTGTAGTTGCTGGGGCTGGTTGGAGTGAGGGGTCAAGTTCCTTCTTTGTCATTATTAAAGACAAGTTTGGGTGACTGAGTTAATTTAGTAGTCTATTTTATATACTATAGTAAACCTACAACAAACCTGGGTAAGTAATTGATCCTAAGAAGAGGGGAAAATACATGTAAGCAGTGGTTGCCTTCGGTGAAAACCACAATCTGATACAGAGATGAGGTTTGTGCAAATGTTTCCTGTAAAAAAAAAAAAAAGAAAAAGTGGGAGGGCAAAGCCAAGTTTGACTTTCAGAACAAGAAATATGGTGGCCACGGCCCCGGTTTCTTAAATGTGTGGATAAATACTAAATCAGAGAAGCTGAACTGTTCAATACTTGCTATTTGGGCTAGTTTGGGAAAATGCAGCTTGCTTTGAGGTGTATTCAGCTTCCAGGTGCACTCTGCATGACATTAGTTTAATACGCTTGTGAAATCATTTTCGAGTTTGTTTAGAGGTGCATCTGAACACTTTCTAAGATGCAACTGCCTACTGCAAGTGGTTTTTGCATTCCTGTTGACTTGTATGGCAGCAGAAGCAGTACTTGCATGAACAAAAACCTGTTGACACGAACAATACATGACATCACTGTCCCAGTGCATTCTAGAAGAGGGCAAACAAACTACCATGTGAAAATCAAAGCTGTTTTTAATACATTCTAAGGCCTTATATGTTCTGAGGCCTCATTCACACCAGGACGGTTGTGGATCAGCGTGGTTTCTGTGCTGATTTCAAAAGAGAGGTTTTGGGAGTTTTTTTAATTGCGTTTCAGTGCTGAATCGCAATTAACCCAAAATCGCCCAAAACCGTGCTGATCAGCGTGGTTCCATTGAAAGCTGTATGAAAACTGCACTGATCAGCGCAGCAAAAATTCGGATTGCGCAGAGCCGCACGGTCCCCATAGCAATGTATGGGATCGTTCATGTCGGCGGATCCGTGTGGCCGAATTGTGTGAACGGGGCCTAACTGTTGCATTGGTTATCAACATTTCAAAGATGTAACTGTAAGGGGGTCACTTATGGTGCCTGATAATTGAGACCAAACCATCTATCGATTTTTTATTTTTTATTTTTTTTTTAATATAAGAGTAAACCTATAAGTAAAAGGCTTTTTCATTTTAGGAGAACTGATTGGGAACAATTTTTCAACCTTTTGGCCATCTGAAATGAAGCCTAACTCAGACAATATGCTTCTGCTTTTGGGCCATAACATGTTATCCCATGCACTATGTACCCACCCAAGGTAAAGCTCCCCACCCCCTTTTCCCCTCCCCAACACTCTTTTTGATTAGCGGAAAGATGCCGTACTTACTGCATGCAATGCTGCAGTTGACGGACCAGGTGCACATAACTGGATGTCAGGAGGCAATGAGTGCTTCCAAGCATCAGAAGGGTTTGTCATGGACAGATTTTTCAACATGTTGCAAAAGTGTGTGCAAATGAGAGCTGCATTAAGCGGCCAAGAGAGATCAGTGGTTCCCAGTAGTGCTTCAGTTTGAGTAAGATGAGACGAGTTGTTGAGTCACTTTTACTGATGGTGGACTGTACTTAGCCTGTGTCGTTACCAGCTATAACTGTAAATCTCGCTTTTTCTCTGTGACCCTCGTCTGGTTTAAGAAACCTACATTGAAGAATGCCCTAACTGTTGTGATTTTATAAAAGATATATTAAATTATATTTTTGTGTTTTTTTTTTGGGTATAGACATGCTTCTGGTAACTTTTTTGTTTTTTTTAATGCTTTTAAGTTTGTGACCTCATTCTTTACTTTATACTTTATATTAAGCTTTATGTTTTTTGTTTCTGTGCTGTGAAGCTTTTTGTGAGCATATAATTAAAACACCTTAATATATCTGAAAAGATACCAGCAAGTTTTTACACAGATTGTGTCTCTAGACGGCCAAGAAGTACAAGTAAAGGCAAAAAGGTTTGTATGCACTTTTTTCTATAAATGGGACATTCTGGTTGATACCAGGCACTTTTATTAATTTTTGTTTAAATTTAATTTTGCTCAAATAAGTATTATATAAAAGACACAGCTCTGTATTTGTCAATTCTTAATTAAATGTATTTTTAAAAATACACGCAGTAAGAGAGAGGAAGAAGTAGTACAGTGTCAATAAGCATGCTGATAGGAGAAAGTAAAGTGACAGATGAGTTCATCACTGAGCTGCTCATTTCACTGTCTAGTCACAGACACGGGGGTTGGGGTTTCCCATTAGATTGAGGCCCATTAGTAGCAGAAAAAAGTAATGCAAGGTAAAGTGAAAATTGCAGTAGAAGCTAGTATTTTTCCTCTTTTAACCCTTTCGCTGCCATGACCTGCTTTCCTCTTTTGACCTTAGCTGGTCAGACCATTTATTGGTCATCTTTTTTATATTTCTAACTGCAGCTTTTGGAGTTTGTAAAAGACCCCCCAAACCATACATTTCATCAAAACACAGGACTGGTAAAATAAAAAGATGGTGCTACTTATTTTGTAGGTCCTGCGATAATTGCGCAAATGTTTATCAAATCAATATTAAACCAATAAAAATACACAAGTAAATCGATAAAGGCACACTAAGTGTTCGTTCACACCAGATGCAGTGCGTTCTGACCCGATGCTGGCTGGAGGGGGCATGGCTGGCCATTGAAGTGAATGGCACCGTAGCCACGCCCTCCGGCCGCACGGGATCGCAAGGCACATTGTGCCTGTGGTGCGGTGAAAATAGTGCTTGCAGTGCGTTCCGGCCAGGATCCTGCACACAACACTTTTCCGACTAAATCTAAAAGATAAACGACGCTTTGCAGTGCTCTGCCACATAGTTTGAATTAATGTTTTGAAAAGGGAACAAAAATAAAAAGAATCAAGCACTGTGATGTGTTTTAACAATGCAGTGCATGGCAGAATTTCAATTAATAGCTGTCAGCGGCTTGTTAGCTGCTGATGACCTCTATCCATATACAGGGGACCATCAGTGAGACCTTTCTGTAAAAGTGACTATGTGCTTATACCAGAAGGGTGAAAGCCACCTCCATAAGGCATACTGTCATGGCCAGCTGGAAACAGTTGTGTACCGCTGTATGCCTTACGGCGGTGACAGGGAAAGGGTTCAAAGGCTCCTAATTTTTCTCATGCTTTTTTGCAGAGATTCTACTTTAAGTTTTACATTCCCTTTAGGTAACAATTACAGGTCTTGTACCTCCCACAGCCTGTGACTTAACAGTAAAACAAAAAGCAGCACATCGATGAACTCACCTGTTTTCCTACTCTATCCTCCATGTTTCTTGCACTGCAGCAGAGCTGATTGAATTCTTGTGCTGCTTCTCCCTCTCACCACCTGCTGTCCAGGTGTTTGCAGGAGGCTTTTACCAGGTAGTAAAATTCATGTACTCGCACTGTATTAAATACAGTATGCTGCTCAGGGAGGCTGAGCGTTGTTTGGAGCACTGTGCAGGGGGAGTGTCAGACCTCTGGAGCACTGTGCAGGGGGAGTGTCAGACCTCTGGAGCACTGTGCAGGGGGAGTGTCAGACCTCTGGAGACTTGGACTACTGCACTCTGAATAGTGATCCGCCTCTCCACTGTACTGCTGACATGACACAGGCTGCTTTTACAAGGGGTAAAGACACACACAAACAAAACAGTCCGCATAACTGAATAGCGCATGAAAATGTGAGGCTTCAGTTGGGCTTTAAGAGTAGAGATTGAGACTAGGGATGCACCGATACCAAGTACAGTACTTGGTACAAGTACCGATACTTTTTCAGGCTCCAAGATTAGACCAGAGAAAAATTCAAAAGTTAGGAGGCACACGGAGCTCCTGGGATTTGCACATCTCTGTTTTGATGTATGATTTTGTTTTTATAAATATAAATAAAGGGATGCACCGATACCAGTTTTGCGAGTACAAGTACTGATACTTGCCCAAGTACTTACAAGTACTGATACATTTTTGTTGTCATGTGACAGTTTTTCTAAAACAATATCGACTAATGATTTCAGGAAAGTGGTGGAGCGTCAGAGCCAGGTACCAGCTGCAACCACTGCAACCCTGGTAGTTCTTGTGAAAATGGCAAGTATTGGCATTGGTACTCAAAGTATCGGTGCATCCCTAATTGAGACCCCCTAATTGGGCCTTTTAGGGTATTGTGCTGCTCCATATGCAGTTTAGTATGGTGCAGTTTGCTGGCACCCCAATGCGCTGTATAGTAACTTGTAACACATGGCAGCGCATCACAATGCACATACTGTGAGTGATGAGCTGTTGTGCTATGCGCCTACAATGCACAGTGTGTCCACTGAAGTGCAATTGCAACCCATTCATAATGAATGGACTACCGTAACAATTCAAATTCTCGTGTGTTGCAGCATACTTTAATGTAGGACAACAGACTGTAGAAGTGTGCATGGGAGGAAGCCTAATGTATGTAGGGGTGGTCCCAAATTTAGCATTTTTGTGTATTTTTAAATTTAAAGAAAAATAGCAAGGTAAAGTATGACTGATATACAGTAAATTGACAATGTCATAACTTGTATCAGGTGAGTTAATGGAAAAGAAAAGCATTTGTCTTTTAATTCTGTAAAGTTGCACTAATATTGGAAGAAATGTCTAAATTGGCATTTGTTTGAAAACGAATATGTACGCAAATGTCAATACTTTAAAGTTTGGATGGAGTACAGAAGGAATAAACTCCCCTTCTATTTCCTGTCTCTCCCAGGGAGATTTCTCGTAAAATGTTTTTTCCACCTTTGCATTCAAATTTAAGAAAACTACTGTTTATGTATTCGTATTCACACAGCATAAAGAAAAATAATGTAAACATATATATTTTTCTCCCGTTCATTGAAGGACACAGGGCAACAGATCGTAGATCCTGTATGGTAGGGTAATATCGCCACCTGCAGGAGAAGGACGCTAGGCACAAAACTAAAGACCAATTACAGCCTAGGGGCGGCCCCTGCCGGTGGCCAAACCCCCCACCTGCTGACAAGTCTCCAGTTTTTTGCCTAGCGTCAGGAGTAAGGAGCTAAAAAAATTTCTCTGGAGAATTTTTTTCTTTTCTTCCGTTTTGACTTGATTTTTCTTCTACTGGATCTACGATCTGTTGCCCTGTGTCCTTCAATGAACGGAGAGAAAAGGATTTTACGGTGAGTACAAAAATCCTATTATTTCTGGCCTTTTAAGATGTTTTGTTAAAGCAGGCAAGATGGCCAATTCCAGGTTTTTCTCAGCACCTTCACAGTTATCTGTCCTAGTGGAAATGCTTAGGACTGAAACTTGAGGATTGTTTCTCTCATTCACTTAACATAATATGGCTGAGCCACCAGAGACCTCTAACACCTTACAACATCTCCTAACATTGCAAAAAAAGATAAGCAAGTAGAAATGTTAACCCTTAAAACCCTAACCCAAGTAAAAGCAGTTTAAATTGCAAGAAACCTATTTTATTTTTATTTTTTTTTTAACACACCACACACCTCCATCTCTTCTGATGTATAAATGAGAACATATAAAATAGGTGTTATCCCAATTTGGCTGCAGAAGTGGAAATACACTTTAAGCTCCTGTCCTTGAGAAATTCCCCTCCTTTTAAACTGCTGTCCCCATTGAAAGATTTCCACTCGCCTTTGGTTCTGGTGACAGTCCTAGTTAGGGATTTCTCCTTGTAATGGACAAAATTACAAATTGAGCTGATTTTCTCCCTGGCACGAGGATTCAGAGGGCAATAAAAACTCGATAGTGCTTCTGACCCTTCCACGTGCTATCCAAAACTAAAAGAAACCATTTTTGTTTTTATACTCTTATTAAGAAAGATTCCCACTTTCAACAATTATACTTGTAATTTACATATAAAACTGGTTTGATCATTAGAATTAGGGATGTACCGGTATTTCGATATCTAGTACCGAAATTGTTTTTCGGTACTCGCCAATACTGAATACAGATACCGGAAGTCCCATTAAGGAAGCCAGGCAGCGTGTTATGACTTGCCACCTGGCTTCCTGATTAGCAGGGAAGCCGTCTCCATGCTTCTCGTCACTAGGTGACGAGAAAGCATGGAGCCGGCTTTCTGGCCAATCAGGAAGCCGGGCGCCCTGTAATGACCCAGTGCCCAGCTTCCTGATTGGCTGGGGAGCCGGCTCCATGCTTCCTCGTCATGAGGTGAAGGAGCATGGAGCCGGCTTCCTGGCCATTCGGGAAAATTTTCATCTGTGGCTTGATTTGCACACCTGAGCAAAACGGATATTTTTCTGTGCAAACACAGTATTCCGACACAAGGCTATTTAATTTTAGAGCCATGCCAGGTGACATCAACACACTATTTGTTTTTTTTTGTCGTCAATCGCCAAAATGTAACATCTGTTATCACAAGTTGAAGTTGCTCTGTCGCTGCCTGAAAAATGTCTGAATTTTGATTGCTAGTGAAGTAGCAAAAGATTGCTGCCGTTTAAGGTAATGAGGGAGCAACTCCTTGGTATATTGTCAGCTGAATATTGGTGACTCTGTTATTGGCAAAGTGTTGCTGGTGACAGATTAGCCTCTGTGACATAGGCCTGATATACTGTATCATGTAGATTTGGGGTTACCAGTCTGCAACATGAAACTGAATACTCCTGATTTGTTGCAACTTTGTACCTTTTTTATTTTTTTTAACTGAACCTTTCTCTTGATTTCATCACTTAGGCCAAAAGCATGCTGTTTCAATTGTGGCTCAGAAGAACATCAAATAAAAGACTGTCCAAAAGTAAGACATGCTAAGATAAGTCAGTTGTGGCCAAATTGCTAAAAGTTTTCTTTAGTTATGAGTGGTTTTTGGGAGATGAAATCTACCACTACCGTCTTATATCATGGAAGGACTGCAGTAGAAAGATCCCTGGACTGCTGCTAAAAGAACCCCTGACTGTACAGATTTATTTTTTCCTTCTACATATACTGCAATGTAAAATGAATGAACAGTTCCAAAAGTGCAAGCCCTATATAATAGCCAACCCAGGTAAATGGAGATAGGGGTGGAGAAATATCTGCTGGGATTTTTTGAGTTCCATCAGATGAGGCTGCTCAGAGCTAGTCATTCCCCTACTTGTAGTTACGTATTTTTTAGATCAATGAGTCTAAACCCATTCAGTCAATTCTTGCCACAGATCTTTCATGTGGCATGTTATCTCATATCAGATTTGTCACAGGTGTTTTTGTTTTTACAGCGACTGTCTTGCGAGTACAGGGGCTGCCCTTGTTGGCCTTAGCCAGTATTACTAGGGAATTGTATTTATTTGAAATTGGGGAGATCTCTCATTGTTCAGGTGAATAACAATCCTGAAGCTACTTGAATCTGTCAATGCCAGTCATAAAAGATTGGTTTGTACTCCTGCTTCTTAATGGCCCTGACTAGTAATTGGAAAACTACTCTTTCTAGAGAGGTCCAGCTCTGTAGAGGAGAGCTCCATTCACACAGGAGCGGTTGGCTGAATATGCGCTCTAAACATAAAAAATGCACTTTAATGTGCATTGTTCAGACTTGTGGTGGCAAAATAATCCATGCACGACCGTCTTTTTTGGCTCACGATTGCGGCTATAGCAATAGCCGCAAACAAGCGGAATCCGTGCAGTTAAAAGATTGTAGCGTTTTCCGTGCCCCGTTGTCTTCGGCATGGGAAATGCTAGTGCTATATGTGAATGGAGCCTCACTTGGCTGCCATGTACTGAAAGTCTTTAATGTAGTGGATGGCTTCCAGATACTGGGGGGTTGCAGGAGCAGTACCACCATGACAGTTGAAATGAGGATTGGGGATGTCTCTTAGCTGGTTGCAAATACTTCTAGGGATTGACTGTGGAATATTTTTTTCTTGCACTGTGGGAGTTTTGTTTTTAAATGAAATGTGTACTGAATGATCACATAGTTTGCCATGATCCACATAGTACAGTACAATAAATCTTGCTCTACACACTTAAGATTAGAGCTGCAACAGTTAATCGATTTAGTCGATTAAAATCGACGATTGAAAACGTTACCAACGTTTTCGATCGTCGATTCGTCGGCTATCAATTGATTTTCCTGTTCGGGGCTCGACACGCGGCCTGAAGCACACGTCACACGCTGCTCACGTACCGCTGCGCCCGCCGTGCTCACAGGACACCTCCCACCGCACGCTGCTCCCACCGTGCCCACAGGACGCATAAGCCACGCCCACCGCTGAAGCCTGTTCGCGGCTCCACACTCAAGCCCCGCACGCAGCGCACGCCACGCCCACCGAACGCGCACGCCGCAGCGGTCCAGCTCCCGACGCTCCTCACATCTAGCCGGGCCGATCACATGACGGGTGCGGGGGATGTGAGCGTGACGGGTGTCAGCCGGGGGACGGAGACTATGGCTGGGGACGAGCCGGCATCTATGGAGGGAATGCTCAGACAGTAAGTGCCCCGACCCCCCCCGGAGCCTGGGACCCAACACTGTGCACCCCAACCCACCATCATACCCATCCTCTGCACCCCAACCCACCATCATACCCGTCCTCTGCACCCCAACCCACCATCATACCCGTCCTCTCCATCCCTTCACTCCATTCCATCATTATACCTGTCCTCTCCATCCCTGCACTCCATTCCACCATCATACCCGTCCTCTCCATCCCTGCACTCCATTCCACCATCATACCCGTCCTCTCCATCTCTGCACCCCATTCCACCATCATACCCGTCTTCCCTATTCCTGCATCATATCCGTTCTCTCCAATAACGCCAGCTATAGAGGAATACATCAGATCCCAGCAATAATACATTATAGTATAATGTACTATTGCTGCGATTTGCTGCAGTCCTCTATAGCTGCTGGTATTCTGCACTGTGCCGCTTTATAATGTACTATATTGCACACCACACTTTTTTTTTACTTCCACCGCTCCAAGCTTGCTCCCGTGATGGACTACAATCTCAATACAAACTAGTAGTCCATCACTGGAGACTTTTTTTTAAAATCCGATTAATCGATTAATCGATTAATCGAACGTAATAATCGGCTAACCGATTATGAAAATAATCGTTAGCTGCAGCTCTACTTAAGATAAAGCTTTATTACTGGGGATTTGTTGCCATTTCACATCTGTGTAACATTGCCTTGTTTTTATTTTGTTAGTTGGCTCTCAATCCAAGCACATCATTACTTAAATGTATGAGTTTGCCTGATCTTTGACCGCTGGCCCACAGAGGCTGCTGCATTGTGGAATTTTGAGATAGGCTAGAACTGGAAGTCCAAGTTGATGCAAGGTGCCTCATTGCACGACTTTGTAAACGTTTAAAATGATAAAGTTGTACTATGGATGCACTGATATATTGGCCGCCGCAACATATCGGCCGAAAATGGCACTTTTGGCATAATGCTGAAAGTGCCATTTTCCTGCCAATACATCTGTGTCCTCAATCTCTTTTTCTATTTTAAAAGGGAAATATCAGGCGTCTGTTTAGACCCCTAATATTTCCCCAAAGCCCCTAAAATTAAAGTAAAATATTTAATGAATTAATGAAAATAAATATAATTTTTTGTAGAGTTTATAAAAATTAAAAAAAAAAACATTTTTGGTATCGGTTTCGGCCTGACAATTTGTTTAATTTCGGTTTTAAAATTTCCATTTGGGTGCAGTTTAAGTTGTACTCTTTGGTGCCTATTTACTGAGCTGCGGTTTTTCAAGTTTGGGAACAGTACAGGTTAAATGTATGTTCTACTTTGTACTGTACATTTTTTTACATTCATAACATAGGTGGCAAATACCTGTATTTTTAGTCTATCTACATAGGTAGCTTTTTCACTAGGGTGTGTCTGGTCCAAATCGTACAACAATGCTAATAATTCATGTTTACCTAGGTAGAGCCTGTAAAGTGTCGTATTCTTTTCCAGCCCCGAGATAGTGCCCATATTGGTATGAAGAGAAAAGAATTCATGAATTCCTGTGCAGAATCTGGTAACCAAAACTATCAGCAACGATACCATGTTGAAGAAGAGAGATTTGTAAGGTTTAAGCCTGGGGTTATAAGGTGGGTATTTAAGGTTCATGTGTAAAGAAAAAAAACAAAAAAAGTTTATATTTAGTTTATTTTTGTTTTTAAAAAAGGCAACCAATTCCTAAATTACTTGTGTTGGTGTCAAAAGTATCTGCAGAACCTTTAAGATAAGCTGGTCAAGGCTGTTAAAATTTTAACTCAGAAAAAATAACCTGCCACTTTAATAGACACAGAACCTCTGTAGTGCCTCTAAATTTTTATTAAGATGTTGATTCTTCTACTAATGTAACTATTACATATTCAATTTTAATTATATGGTAAAATTGGGTCTTTTTATGGCTTTACAGCTCAGAGCTTCAGGAGGCCCTTGGAATAACAGATAAGCACCTTCCTCCATTTATATATCGAATGCGCCAGCTTGGCTACCCTCCAGGATGGTTGAAAGATGCTGAACTGGAGAACTCTGGACTCTCTCTTTATGACGGAAGAGGTATGTTCTTCTGCAGACATAGATAAGTTAAGCTATATGCAATAGCCTTGCTCTTGAAACTTGGTTCATATGTAATAAGATTATAACACTTTAGTGTTCATGTTTATCGTAGAACACTTTTTAATTTCAATATTCCTAATTTGCTTTGTAGATACAAGTGATGGTGAGATTGAAGAAGATCCTGAGGCACAGAGCAAGTCTGTATCTTATGATTTATCAAAGTTAATCAGCTTTCCTGGTTTTAATACTCCTCCCCTTTCTGGGGTTGCGGACGTGAGTTTCCTTAAGGATTGTTTATCCCTGCTTTCTGATAGGAAAATATCAATTCTTTGGTGTTTTGACAAATTTAGGGAACCTCCTAATGCTACACCAACAATAATTGTGTTTTAAAAGTGTGTGCAACTTGCATTTGTAGAGTGATCTGCACTGTACACTGCTTATAAAACCATAACGCATGTGCAGACATACTTGGATGTTTTAGGTCTTGTGAATGGTGCTGGTCAGTAGATCACTTTGCAGTTGCAAATTTTATATAATATGTTGGACAGGAAATCCATGCTACAGGTGTAACATGACTAGGCCTGAATCCCTTGTTTATGAAGCCCAAAGGACTTAGCTCTTTTGGTTCTAAATAATTGATTTTCATTTCCCTACTTTTTGTTTTATAGTCCATTTAAGAAATACAAGCTCTTAATTTTATCTCCCCCAAAATGTTTTCATACTTTTTGTTCAAATTTTCTATCATTGTTTATATTTTTTCATGTTTGTCATCCGTTTAGCTGCATCCTCCATCAACTTTTTGTTATCCTTGTAAACCTTGCAGGGTCTACTTTGCTTGCTGTGCTGTCTTAAGCATGTTTAGTCTCCATTGCGGTCTCACATCTGTTCTTGTATACACTGCAAATTTTGTGTTTCCAAGCTAACATTTTGTATTGCATTTTTCTAGTATGCACCCCCCCATTATTCTTGTGTATTAACCTCTAAAAGGGGTAAAGGCTATAGATAAACATTTGAATGCAAAATGGTGGTCAGTGTAGGTGACTTCCTTAGGTTCACAGCTTTGTGTTTTGGGTCCTCCTTTACCTCCCTGTCGGTCCGTTAAAGCACCAACTTCTTAGGAGAGGCCAGTATTTGTTTAATAGTGTCATGTTTCCAATCTTTCCGTGCTCTTGGGAAGTGGCATTCAAGAATGCCTTTTCTGACATCACCAAACAATTGTTTTTTGTTTAAATGTTTTTCTCTCAGGATTGGAGGAATTTTGGATCAATCCCAATGCAGCCAACACACCAGAAAGATATTTTTGCCAGCTATCTGTCTCATAACTTTCCAAAAGTAAGTGAAGAATTTGTTTTCCTTAATCCTTTTCAGCCGTTTGTTTAGCTTGGCATTGAAAGTTTATATTTAAATGAAGAACATGCTCTTACGTTACGGTTTACATTCTTTGTTGTGCCCAATTTTGAATCGGTGATTCATTTTTTTAATTTCCATTTTGAAAGTTATTCAACCCTGGAAAAAATGGTGTTGAAATTCTTCCTAAAGTCATTGTACACATTCATACCTTGTTGGTGCAAATAGACCTCCTTCTGTAAAATGATTTGTATGCTCTTTATGTTTGATGCATTTTAGCACTGTATTTTCCTACTGCTTATTAGGGGGAAAAAATAGGTTGTTTAAATAGACCTAATGGTTAGAATATGTGCTGCCTTGTATGCAAAATCAAAGTTTATTTTATGATCTGTAAAATTGCAAGTGATGCACTTGCACTCCCTGCATGCATTGTAATATGAATTTAGTAAATGGCTTTAAAAAAAACAAATTTCTAAAGTATTTTTAATCCACAGCCCAGCAATACCAGCCAGAAGAGATCTTCGTCTCATTCAGGTTCAGAACGGAAAAGACAGAAGACCTCCAATAGCAAAGGGGAGTCACCCATGGATATGGAGACAGGTAATAAAGCAAATGCCAAATATCTAATCCTGTGAGGAAAGTCCTCCAGTTAGGAAGATATTTGCAAAACTGATACCAATACAGAAGATTCCCTTCATAAAGATGGGACAAGAGGAAGAGGACCCGGGGTGTTCAGACCGCAGCATCCTGACAGCAGGCCAAACGCAAGGCCATCATAGCATTTGTTCTACCGCCAGGGACATGAAACACTGTAGATTGTTTAGTAACAATCAAGACTCCCAATATGATTTGTGTTTAACCTTTCCAAACCAGAGCTTTAACCTTTTTCCTGCCACCGCTGTAAGGCATACGGTGGAACAAAACTGTTCCCAGCTGGCCAGGTCAGTATGCCGTACAGAGGTGGCATTTGCAGTTATGCTATAAGCTCATGGTCACTTTACCGACCATGAACTTAAAGTAGAACTATTCCCCTGACTGTGCTCTTTAAATTAATAGCGGTTATCAGCGGCTCGCAAGCCGCTGATGACCACTATTAACAAAAATACCAGGCGCCCGCACCGCTGGAGCCTGCATGGATCCTCGCTACTCTCCCCCCGCTTGTAGGGGCTGAGGCAGCGGGGATCCGAAAAAAAATCCGGAGGAGTGGCTGGGAGAAGCCGCAAGTTTCAGGATGGCCGAGCGGTGAGGAGAGCGGACCCGCTGTCATCCTGTCAGTTTGCGGATGACAGCGGCTCTGTGTGTGGCTGAGCAGAAGGTCGGTAAATATCAGTGATATTTACTGATCCGCTGTGTGCAGAACAAACACTGGAGTTATTGTCTGATCACTCCAGTGTATGTAAATAACTGGGGACACATAGTGCTATGTGTCCCCAGTTATGAATGAACAGGATGTGATTTACATAATTTCCTGTTTATTCATGAATTTCTCAATGAGATGCACTCACTATAGAGGCTTTTCCCCCATTTAGAAACTGGTGATGGTAAAATATTACCAGTTTCTAAATGGGAAGCCTCTGTAATGAGTGCACAACCCTCCTCCCCCACACACAACATACATGTGCACCGTATTGTGGTGTATGCCATGCACATGCGCTGCAGTGTGTTGTGAGAACGCATAGCAGTGCATGATTTAAAAAAAATTATTAAAAACAATTTAACAGTGGTAGCGCATTGCACAGCTTTGACGCATTGCCATGCTTTGTAATACCTTTTGTTGCAATTAAATATACCCTTGTATCATTTTATCACAACACCAACACCGTGCAAAAACAATTTTTAACGTAAGTCGCTTATTTACAGTTTTGCGTACCTTCATTTTTTTACCTTTTCGCATAAAGGCGCAATTTCAAATGTGGCAATATTTGTTATTAACTCAATGCAGTGTAATCTTTTAGATTTTAGTCAGAAAATATTTTCTTCTGTGTGCTGATACTGATTTTAGTGCTTTTATCAATTGAATTGTGTATTTTTATCGGTTTAATAATTTGAGAAACATTTTTGCAATTACCGTAGGGCCTACAAATTTAGTAGCACCATCTTTTTATTCTACCGGGCCTGCGCTTCCAGAAAATACATGGTTTGGGGGGTCTTTTACAAACGCTAGCAACCCAGCAGTTGAAAATAAATCAATGCTAAAAATTGCGTGGCCAGCTGATGCAAAATGTTCCGGAGGCAGCGAAAGGGTTAATGGTTCTGTGAAGGTTAGTTAAAGCTGGCTGGTTGGCAAAAGCCTCTGTGTTCAGGGCCGAGAAATATACTTTACAGATTTTCCAGTTTCAGGTATAATCCCGGTTTAAAGCAGACTAGACAATTTTGTTCTGTGCCCGCTACACACTAAAGCTTGCAGTTGTATACCATCAAGTTCCCCATTGTATATTATCTGTATATTTAAATATATATAATCGTTTGTATGCAAAACTAACATTGTTACTTTCAGCTAATGATGACCTACAAACACGTACAAAAAACAACCCACATTTGTTTTCCATATGTAATAAAAACCAGACACAAATGATGGGACCCTTAACCTAACATTTTGTTGCACAAACTTAGAGGCAGTTCCTGCAAACAAATGATTTGTGTACCTCTTAATGAGACTTCTGCACCTCCAACAAGTAGTTTGACCCACTGTTTTTGAGCAAATTGCTCCAGCTGTCTCAGGAGTGAAGGGTGCCTTCCCCAGACTGCATGTTTCAGCACTTTCTATAGTTCTATAACATTCTGATCAGGGCTCATAGAAGGCCACTGCAGAGTAGTACAGTGTTTTGTTCTTAGACATTGAATGCTTTTAGCTGTGTTTTGAGTCATCCTCTTGGAGAACCCATGACCTGCAACTGAGCTTTTTGACCCTGGGCAATATATTTTGCTCTACAATTTCTTGATGTTTTATTGTGCCCTGCACAGACTTAAAATGGCAAAGCAACTCCAAAACCTAACTGAGCCTCTTCCATGTTTTACAGAAGGTACAGTATTTTCTTTAAAAGCTTAATTTTTTTTATCTCTTTAACATAGAGCTGATGTGACCTGCCAAAATATCCAGTGTTGTCTCATCTCTGTAACTGACATTCCTCCAGAAGCATTGTTGCTTGTAAATATGCATTTTAGCAAATTCCAGTCTTGTTTGTTTTTTCTTTCAACATTGGAGTCTTCCTTTGAGCCCAATGTTGCTCAAAAAGCGATTGGATGATTTGATCAGACCCTGATGTACCTTGACCTTGCATTTCAACTTGTATTTTTTGGAAATTTTCCTTGGATCTTTGTCTACCATTTGCACTATACTGTTCTGTTTAATCTGGAGTCCATTTTCCACTTGTGGCCATGTCCAGGGAGGTTGGCTACAATTCCATGGACCTTACCCTTTATTATTTTCAACTCTTGTCACAAACATCAAGCTGCTTGGAGATGGTCTTATAGCCTTGCTGGTCTAGAATTGTCTTTCTGATCTCTTCAGACAACTCTCTCCTTTGCGTTCTTTCATCCATATTCAGTGAGGTGAACACAATACCAAACTGGTTACAAGATTGAAAATGTGTGGTACTAATTACAGAAAACCATTCGTTACTATTACTATTATCCAATGTATCATTTTTTCTAGGATTACCAACAAATCATTACTACAGCATTGTAGAATAAGCAGTGCTTTATCCCTTTTTCACACTTGTACTTTTACATTCCAAAGGCATGCAGGTATACATGAGACAATTGCTCTTAATGTGAAACAATGCTTTATTCATCCTAAAAAGTGATCAATGAGATGTAAGGTTGCCAAGAGATTTGTCCCCATCTGTATGTTGTGTACAGCTTCAGACCCTCTTCTTAATTTTACTTTTTTTTTTTTTTATACCTTAACTTTTTCTTAAGGTTTTTACATATTGTAACAAACATTACAATAGACAGATTAGCCAAACTACAGAAACACACATCAAAGGTGCAAGCATCATACAAGTAGAATATAGAGATGTGCAAATATAGTACAATAGAGACCTAGAAGACAATATTGTAAATACACAGCACCCGCTTTCCACCTACACCCCCCCTATCCACTGACCCAGATGCCAGGCTTATACAACAGTGATTACATTTGGCGGACCCTCTACCCCCTTATCTTTAACCGCAGCATCCAACCACCTAAACCATATCAAGGCGTACTTCTTAGTTGCCTCTTGGTACACTTTTACACCAGATTCACAATTCTCTGGGCTCCCTGTTGCTGTGCAGTTACTTGTTTAAACGGCAGTAACTTTCTGCTCAAGAAACTTAGACCATACAGAGGTTTGGGTGAATCCTACATTTCCAGAAATCAGTGCTTATTACTTGGAGTATTTCAGCCTGATCCTGGGATACAGCCTTGTCCAAGGTTTTCCTTCTCCTGGGCCTACTTCAGATTCTCCACTCTCACTTTTAGGTTCTACAGTCACGGAGCCATCCCACCCTTCACTTCTTCTGAATGAGTGTTTCACTGTAAGGGTGACCTCCTTTTAGAGGCAATTTCATATGCACTACTTCACTCCCAGACCATTGCAGCTCAATATTCTCACGGCATGGAAAAAGGGATCTCACTTAAGAAAAAAAACAGGCTGTGGAGGAAGTGCAGTGCATTTCTATTGTGATTTTCCTGTTTTCCGATGTCTTTTTTTTTGTTTTTAGCTTAAAATGGGCTTTCAGGTGCAATCCAGTGCATTCCAGACCATTGAAAATGAAACCAGCAGTATTTGTTTTGTCTGGACCAGAACGGACTGCGCTGGTGTGAACAGAGCCCAAAAATACCATAGGGATAGATTGGGATGCTTTTTTTGGTCTGGGAAAAGACTTTTCTGGTCTAGACATGGTGAGAACAAGCCCTTAGGAACCAAAAGCCTCACATCTCAAAGAGAGGGAATTGAATTTCTGGGTTGGGGCGAAACATCTCGTTCCAACTCTCTCTGCTGTACACATCCCAGGCTTGGAAAATTGTCAGGCAGACTTCCTCAGTTTTCAACTTCTGGACTCCATAGAATGTTCTGTTCACCCCATGGTGTTTTGAATCCCTGTTGCAGCTGGGGGATTTACAATACAGTATAAGGAAGACATTACAGTACAGTTCAAGACAAGATGCTAAGGAGGGCCCTGCCCTTGGGAGCGTACGATCCTTAACTATTAACAAAAATGCAGCTTATTTGTGACGATCCTCAATCATCTCTATATTTATGCCGACACTGTCCTTCTTCCGGAGGGTGATCAGAGTGGGCACATCAAGTGTCGGTACCATACTTCCGGGCCGCAATACGTCTATATGCAGCAGTCGTGTACCGCTCGTGTACCTGGTACCGCTTTTAACAGCAGGCGATTGCTGTTAATGTACAAGCGATCCAACGTCTGTACAGCCGCCGCATCGTTTGTACCGTGCAGCGGTGCCGCGGCCGCCATGTCTCCCCAGGAGTGGCTCCCCGCAATGATCGGAGAGAGATTCAGCGGCCTCCAGCCGCTGATCTCTCCTCCGATCACTGGACCTGGAAGTGATGTGTATTACATCACTTCCGGTGTCACTGTACACAGTCTCCGGCTCTTAGAGTCAGGAGATGAAGCAGATCTCTGCTTCCTCAGCTTCTTTGGGGTCCCTACGTGACTGGGTCTGAAAGGCCCCTGATGTCTCCATAAAGAGGACCTGTCACACCCTATCTGCTATTACATAGGGGGCTTGTTAGTGTAAAAAAAAGTGTTTAAAAATGTAAGTAATATCAAAGAAAAATAAGAAAATGCTAAAAAGATTTTTTAAGTCCCCCGCCCCCCACATGCACACACAAACGCGCGTCGGTGTGCCTATGTGCGGAAACAACAATTGCGCTACACATGTTACATATCACTGCTAATGTCAGAGTGAGAGCAATAATTCTAGAGCTGTCAATCATTGTTAGCACTAAACTGATGAGTGGTAAAAGCGTTTAAAATGTTGCCTATGGGAAATTTGGGGTATTGAATTTTTCTGCGGCTTCACGGGCGAACGCAATTTTAAGGCTTGACATGTTTGGTATCTATTTACCTGACGTGATCCCGTCTTTCTTATTTTATCAATAAATTGGGTATTATATTATGTTTCTGTGCACAATTTTTTATTTTTTTTTCCCCTAAAAATACTAGTTTGATAAACATTTGCACAAAAAACGTGCAACGTAAAAAATTGCAGCTAGCTTTTTTTTTTATTCTACAGGACCTCTGCTTTCAGAACATATATCATTGTTTGGGGGTCTGAAGCTGTTTTCTAGCCAAACATTTATATTTTATCATGTGTGCACAAATAGTAAAAAAATGCCCCGGACAGCAAGTGATTAAAGTGCATTAAGGTCCAGCACGCCTGTATTTTACTTGTAATCTGTATACCATGTGTTTGTGGTTTTTGCGATGCAGCTGTGTCTTTCCACTTGTAATGACCTGGAATGTAAACATACTTGGTGAATAAAAGATTTATAAAAAAAGATGTTCTATATGTGAGCAGGATATTGGCAGAAAAGATCTAAAACTCTTAAAACGAATTTTCAGCTGATAATCCGCTCCATAACATTGACTGTACATTTTTTTTTTTTTTTTTTACATGAAATGGAGTATGTAAACCTTTCAGGAAACCACCTTCGTGCTACGTCATATAGTAAAAGATGCATAGTTTGCACTGTACAGTGATTTTTAAAATATTTCTTCTTCTGATTTTCAGATTCAGATGTGCCCTCAGGTTTCAGTTTTCAGCCTCCTCTCCCTCCCTATTGTTCTCCACCTCCAATGCCTCGTGGAACTCCACCTTCAACCCCTCGCAATTTCATCCCACCACCTCCACCAACGCCAACTCCTCCTCCACTTCCAAAAGGAACACCACCTCCCACTCCTAATAGAGGCTCTCCATTGCTTCATTCTAGAGCTAGTCTTAGGGTTCAAGCACAGGCAGCGGATAGTATGGATGAAGACACATTGACTTTGGAAGAGTTAGAAGAACAGCAGCGTTTAATTTGGGCTGCTCTTGAAAAGGCAGAGAGCACAAATAGTGAATCAGATGTAAACACCACACCATTAAATGGCAATTCTGTTGCCTCTTCACCAATTAGGACTGAAACGGAAAGTGTCAATGGAGGGAAAGTTAAGGTTCAAAAAAGTGTAACCAAGTCAACACCACCTGATGCATTCCTTGAAGCAGCTGGACATGAGCCTGATGATGACAAAACTCAAATTCCCAAAGGTAACAACTTGTTGAGTGAAAAAGATGGTGACCTCAGTGTGGCAGAAGATGCTGCAAAGCCTAATGGAGCAGCTGCAGGACTTAAGGAGATGCAAGAAGAGGATGGAGATGCTGCAGAAGAGGCAGCTTGTGTACCTTCTCCTTTAAAACCTGCTGTTCCAGACAGGAGTAAGTTTGCGGAGGGAATCACACCATTTGAGTATGACAACATGTCAGAGGCTACTGGCACATACCTTAAGCTCAGAAGCGTGTTAAAGAATTCTCCCCGAAACCAGCAAAAAAGCAAAAAGAATGTGTAATGATAACCTAGTACACCAGGACTATTAATCTTTTTAATTTTTTTAATATTTAAGAAAATAGTTGACATTTTCTTTCTACACAAACGCCTGGAAAAAAACAAAAAAAAACAAAACCTTTTTCCTATGTAAAGTGATTTATATGAAATAATACAAATGCATTTTTAACAAGACTGAGTGTTAGTGAGCCCCACCATTTGGATTTGCCATAAGTATTGATTTAAGTCCAAGAAGAGGTAAAGTTACAGTGTCAGTTAAAGAGCATTGAACAGTAGGTCATGTTAAAATAGATTATATATAGTGCAAATACAGTTTTCAGCATTTTCTTATGAAAATAAGGCAGAAGGCCATATTTTTATGTAAAAGTACAAACAGCAAAGCAGCTACATTTCCGTTTATAGTGAAAACATCATGAATTTTTCATTTAATAGATGAAAAATGTTATTTCAGGTGTACATGTTTGATATGCTGTTATGGTTTCAAATTTTGGGGATAAATCTTCTAAATTGTTTTATAAATGTTGAATGCTCTCCTCTCTAAATACTGTATATATTGACTCACCTCTGCCAATGGGCCTTTTCCCAGTGGTAAGGAGCACTCATTGACGTCATCACAACAGCACTCACTACAATTAGCTGAATATCACACAGGGACAGATTCTACTGTATCTGTACTGTAGCACAACCTGCTCCTACTGTATCACTGAGGAGGGAAATTGGCTTAAAATTCTGAGACTTGTGTATTACGCAAGTGGAAATAAGAAATGGGGTATTTAGATCTTTTAAGCTCGGCAAGGCAGCACAGCTAACACTGTGTACTTTATTGCATGGTTACTAATCCTTTTTATTCATGCACCACAAAGCAATGCAAGACCAGTGCTTTATTATGCTGTGATTTATTTGGAGTTTGTGGCTTGGATTTCCCACAGTGAGATGAACAACAAAAGCAAGCCACTTAAGCTCTTGTCACTGAGAATCACTTTTACTCCAATCCCGTCAGAAAAATGACAAAGCATATTCTTTAGAGGGTTGTGCTTCCAACACTAGGAGATAAAATCTGGCTTAAAGCAATCTTGCCCTTATCTCAGTATTAAGAAAAGTTTGGGAAAGTATTGCTTCAGGCAAATGTGGGGGCTCTTAGACATATGATTTGTGAAGCACTAGCTTTCCAGCAATTAAAGGTTCTAGGTAGGCAGCCAAGCTTACAGCCTTTCTAAGCTCATTTATCCTTTATCCCCTTCATGGATCTGATGCATAGAATCTGCGCCCATTCTATATTAGGCAGTGTTCACAGAACGTAAAACTAAACATGGCTTTCAGTTTTGATCTACTTTATCAAGGGAAGCCAAACTTTGGCCCTCCAACTGTGGTGAAGCTACATATTCCATCTGCCTCTGGAAGTCATGTCTGTTGCTGTCATCCTTGCAATGTCTCGTGGGATTTGTAGCTTCGCCACAGCTGGAGGACCAAAGTTTGGCTACCTCTGCTTTTATATGATATGTTTTTGTACAGTTCATTATTTGTGCATTTCTGCCCAAAAGAATATTGACTTAAGGTAAAATATTTAAGAGAAAACTGTTGTGCTGTATTTGATTTTAAGAATTGTCCATATTTAGTCATTATAGCAAGTGGTGACTTTTCAGGTAGTGTAGGTTTATCTTTTTAATTTTATTTTTTTTGTCTATTCTCTTGCTATTTGACTGGGCCATATGATAGTCAATGTTTTAATCCATCTTTTTACCGTATTTGTGGGAACTGGCACGGTTTATCTTAAAATCAGTGTTTGTCACTCTTCAATATATTTTTATACATGATTTAAATTTCTTTGGTTTTAATGCCACTGCTACTTTTTTCTAAGACCATTTCTCATAACCCCCCCACGCACAGTGTACTGAGGTTAAATAAATGAGTCTTCTTAAAAGTCTTGTGTTTTCTGGTGGTTTGTAAATTGTGTAAGGGTATTATGAACACTTTGTTTTCCTGTGTTCTTGAAGCAGTCCACTGACCAACAAAGTATGAAAGGTAAATGGTACAAAGTGATGGCAACTCCTTTTACCTCACTGTGTAAACATGAACACATACAGTGAATACCTGTGCTAAAAGTAGTTCCTGAAATAAGGGAAACTGCATGATGAATAGACATGTGCATTTGGATTTGGACAAACCTGCAAATCAACAAAAATCAGTTGGTTCGGCGGTTCGTCCGAATCCGAAATGACGACTTTAATATATGCCCGAATATACTAAAACGATATTCGGGCATACATAAATGTATTGGTTTTCAGAACACGCCAGCGGCCATATTGACCACCGGTGTGTTCAGTGCATGCCTGCTGCCATCTCGGAGGCGGAACGCGTGACGTCACACGCTGAATGAGCATCATATGTAAAGTTGTGTCTTGTGTACATATTCATGTTTTACTTTAATTACAGTGTACTTTATTTTTTTTTTACACTGTTGCCCCACCTCACTGTGTACTACCAACCTGGTCTTGTATTTGCCTTCAGCCTCGATCCAACAATTTCAACTGTGCAGGCCCTGCTCCAAGCTGCATAGCCTTTCCTCTAAAAATGGCTGTTTCATATTGCCTTATGCGCCACAGCCCAATTAATTTCTGTTGAAACGCCATTCTCTAAGCATTTTGAAGTGGGACCGAACACTGGAGATCACTGGTTCAGTGCTGATGGCAAGTATAAAGGCCGTGACACACTGCACGCGAAGCCGTGCAGAGCGAAGCAAAGCCATCCGGCACGGAGCTTTGCGTGCAGTGTGTGAGCTGAGTGCAGTCAGATGATTGACAGCACCTTCAGCCAATCGGCTCGTCCGTGACAACCTGCCAGCTATCGCGACGCGCTGGTTCATATGCGCAAGCCGATTGGCTGAAGTTGAAATTGTTCATCTCGGCACGCTCAGCTCCGCGAGCTCTCGCCAGCTGAGGTGCCCAGAAGAAAATTACATGACACACTGCTCGCAAAGGCAGCGCGCCACCGCTCCGCGCTGCTTCGCCTGCAGTGTGTCACGGCCTTTAGACTCGGGGAGGGGAGACCAAGTTAAAACAACAGTCAATTATTAAAGCATTGTTTTGTTAGCTAAATACATTCTAGGTGCATCAAAACACATAGGTGTGCAAAGTCTTAGGCTCCATTCACACCAGGGAAGTTCGTTCGCTCGGAACAGTAAACACATTTATTCCTATGGGGCTCGTTCACGCAATCGCGCGTTTCAATCAGCCTGCTGCTAAAACTGCTCCCTGAGCTACTTTTTCATATAGATTTCAATTGAAACATGCTGATCAGCACGTTTTTTATTGCGTTTCAGCGATGACCTTGGCCACTCAGTGCCAGCATGTTTCACCCACTTTCTTACCAGGACATGTTTCAGTTTTCATCGCTGAGATAGTTTGACAATTACTCTGTCATGTAACACTGTAACCAAATTCATTTTTAGATCAGTATTTGAGACCACTTTCTTTTGGTGGTATTTAATAACCCCTGAGATTTTTGTTATAAAGACTGAACAGAAACATTACATGTTTTTTGTGTAAAATATACAGTTGTGTGAAAGTGTTGGCCCCCTTCCTGATTTTTCATTGTTTTGCACGTTTGTCACACTTTAATGTTTCAGATCATCAAACAAATTTAAAATATTAGTCAAAGATAACACAAGTAAACACAGTATACAGTTTTTAAAGGAAGGTTTTTATTGTTAAGGGAAAACAAAATCCAAACCCACATGGCCCTGTGTGAAAGTGTTTGCCCCCAAACCTAATAACTGGTTGGGCCACCCTTAGCAGCAAGAACTGCAATCAAGCGTTTGCGATAACTTGCAATGAGTCTGTTACAGCGCTGTGCAGGAATTTTGGTCCACTCATCTTTGCAGAATTGTTGTAATTCAGCCACATTGGAAGGTTTTTGAGCATGAACCGCCTTTTTAAGGTCATGCCACAGCATCTCGATAGGATTCAGGACTTTGACTAGGCCACTCCAGTCTTTTTGTTTTTCTTCAGCCATTCAGAGGTGGACTTGCTGGTGTGTTTTGGATCATTGTCCTGCTGCAGAACCCAAGTTTGCTTCAGCTTGAGGTCACGAAAAGATGGCCGCACATTATCCTTCAGGATTTTTTGGTAGACAGCAGAATTCATGGTTCCATTTATCACAGCAAGTCTTCCAGGTCCTGAAGCATGTTCTCCCTGTGCTTGCCTGGATTTCCTCCGGGTACTCCGGTTTCCTCCTACATTCCAAAAACATGTTGGAAGGTTAACTGGCTTCTGTCTAATTTGGCCCTGTATGTATGCATTTGAAATAGGGACCTTAGATTGTAAGCTCTTAAGGACAGCAGCTGATGTACACTATGTGTAGCAATGTGTAAATTGATGGTGCTATATAAATACCTGCGTCCCTGAAGGGGAAGCTGCCCATGGGGACTTGATCGGAGGAGGAGGAGGAGGACACATGTTGGGCTCATAAAACACTTCTGCGAAACAATTGTCACAGCGTGTAGTACTACAGCATGCCACTGGAGGGTGACAGGTGGATGCAAATCAAACATACAATCTGGTGCACTCTAAAGGCTGTGTAGCAGCCAAGTGATTGCCACACACTTCTGTGATTCCTAGAACTATCCTACAAGCTAGAATCCTTGTGTTCCCACTGATCACACACCTACACACGAGACTCACAGTAGACTGCCATCACCTGCAAATTGTCTCTGGACTAGTCTGCTAGCAAACCATACACGCAGGGCCGGATTTCTGGGAAAAACGTCAGGGCAGCAGGGGTGTGGAATTCCGATCTCCCGATGCCCAGGGCATGCAGTTTCAGGTGCCAGATGGGTCGTTGTTTTCTACATTTAGCCCTGCTTTGGGCAAGCAGGGCTAAATGTACAGCAGGGAAACCGCCGCTTATTTTGTACAAGTGATCGCGGCGATGTCGCCAAGGTTACTGGGATGCGGCCTGCATACAGGGGGGGCGCATTGAGGAACCTGGCATTGGGGCAGCAGAGAGAGTAAATCCAGCCCT